GGGTCACACACATTTTTTTGATCAGCGTCTTGTGGGAATATGCAATCGAACATTCCAATGTCGCAATTTGTTGACACGCAAAATGGAGGAGGATAACAAGTGCGAGTTTTGTCATAGAAAAAACTCATATTGATGAACCATAAAAGTTACAAATTGGCAAGATGTTTAGTTGGATTATGAACACCATCATAATACAATATCATGGAACTTTTTTCGAGCCTGTTACTTGACTGGTAAATAAGCTTTATTCGTGAAGCAACAAGACTTTTTTTTTCTCCTTAAAAAATTGATCTACGTTAACAAGCATCACATCACACAGCCACAGAATAACTTGAAACAAAAGTCAACAGCAACTGGGGCAAATTTCGGTGACTAATCAAATACTTTGAATAACAAACTTTTGCATATGACCATAGAGATTGGCACTATTGCTAATGATTTGTGCGCAAGATTGTGCAGATGATAAGAGAACAATTGTTTCTGTGGGAACATCTTTTTTACATGTCATGCAAATCCATTTGCCTGTGTTCTAGACCATTGATTTGAACAGAAATAACTTTTCGCTCCGTAGAATGCATACCATACTTTGATTAGCATTAAAATGTCGTCATACAATGCTGTGTAACCCAACTATAATCAAAGTTCGTTTCGAATTTGTCTAACAGCTAAGACGATGAGTGTTAAGTTCTCCATCACAATTCTCATTTTATCAATGTAATACTTACATGAATATATCGCACTGACAAATGTTCGATATCTAAAAATAAGAACGATATCACAAGCTGAGATGATGTCAACGTTTATTGCACAAGACAGCTCCTGACTTGCTTTGCACGACTTTGTGGTGGGAAAATAAAAAAAAAAAAAAATTAAAAATGCGAGATGGAACGTGTGTGCGACTCATATGATTCATGGGAAAATTAACAAAGAACTGCCTTCATATGCCTTTATTTGTCAAACAGTTTGAGAATTCATGATGCATGATAATAAAGAATTTGCACGATTGACAATATTAACTAACTTTATAGACCAGAGTGAGCCTTTTCGCCATTTGTTAAGTGAAAGGTGAATCGGTCATACAAGAATTACAAAAGAACAGTTATAAAAGAAGGTCGAATTCCTCCACACACTACTCATCTCTTCATACATCACACCAGCAAACAACAGAACTAAAAACCTCGTCTCGCGAAGGCCCGGTTCCCGACACACTTTCGAACTTGCAGATCTGTGCAATAAGTCAGAACATCGAACAATAAAATGAAAAAAAAAATTTTATGTCATGTAAGCTTTTTTCGATTGGGACTATGAACGATTCAAAAAAAAAAAACTAACTCGACTTTCATAATTTAGCTTAATCCTTCACAACCCAGGCAAGCTCTAAACTCCTCCGATCTCCAAACCTGGGAAGAGGCTAATCGGCCAAAGAGATAATAAGGAGAGGTAATTATTACTGATGATTTACGCACGCGCTCTATTGATGATGTAATTTGTCCTAATGAAATTCTTCAATCTCACATTATAGTGTTGTCTCGTATCATATATTTGTCCGCCCTCGTTCATGGGTGACATTCAACGAACCAGTCTTCGTAATTCCATATTAAATGTCCTTCAATATGTGACGGAAGCCGTCTGTAACTGTTACAATACATTTTTTAGCTTCTCTATTATTGTTCCGAATAAAATCTGACAAATTGGCCTCGTTAAAATGCGTGTGTTCTTTTTGCATAGTTTTTGTCCAAGTTTTTTGATTACATAACTTCCGCTCTTAATATACACGTATTATGATTTTCGCTCGGTTTCAACTATTTGATGATTGATGACTAATATGGGGAAGGTCCAAGCGCAATTACATTTTTTGAGTGGGAAATGACAATATTATTCTTCAGCGCGACCACATAAAAGTGCTTTAACAGATACATCGTGTTTGCGACCACATTACAACAAAATATCGACACGAAATTGAACATACACTTACTTATACTACTGTTATATATCGTACTCTGCATTTATTGGACGCGTAGATAGCGTAATTCCACTTTGAAAGATGTAACCAGTTAATGACAAGTCGAAAAATTAGCAGTACTAATTTTATGTTGTTCTTTTCTTTATACTGGAAGATGTGACGCCTTATGGACATTTCCTTGACGTGATAAGAGGTATATCAATGATTAGTTACGAATAGAATTGTGCGCAGGATCAACGTCACATATTTCTCTGGCGCTGAATTTGATTCGTCAGAGTGAATGCGTAATAACTTTATATTTATGTTAATCTATAGTATTGCTGTAGTTCAGCTATCATTTTAATACGCTAGCAACTCGTCATAAGTGTTGTTATTTTTAATCAGTCTTGACAAGTGTCTATACTGCGTAAACTCCGATCTGTAACGAAAACAAACCTCGAGTTAATCATAGGATCGAAAATCATCTGCGATTGAGATTATTTAATTATATTGGCTTGAAATTGTAGAATTAAAGTCCATATTCTGTGTATTAATTTTTGCGATAGCACGTTTTTTTGAACGCTTTCGTTATAATTATATGTTCTGACATTTTGTTCAGTAGAAATGCAGCTGTCATTTTATCGTGTTGGTGTTAATAATAGATTATATTGATTGTCTTCCTTTCCGTTGGTAACTTGTTGGTTGACATTTATATTTAGTGTTCAGTGACCAATGTACACTTTCCCGAATAAGCTGTGCAACCATTTCCACGCGCTAATAATTCGCGAAATTATAAACTTTGATTTTTAACCTGTAGACCGAAGGGGGGGTTCAGACAGAAAAGTCTGCAAAGCGGTCCGCAACATGTGCTTAAAATCAGTGAACAAACAAAACGCCTTGGCAGGGAAGGCCCGAGATTGGCTTCGCGACTTACAATATTGGGACTCTGCACATGTGATTGAAGAGCGTGAAACAACGAAAATAACGAAAGCGTAAAGTAGTTCAGCATATGGGTTGATGTTTGTGGCCTCATGTGAAGGGTTGCGAGGCAATGTCAATGCACGAAACACGCCTCGAATCAACAACCCAAAAATGTAAATACGACGATGAGGTTGTCCAACCGGCTCATGGGATTCTGAGTATTAGTACACTGTTAAAATAGACTTGTAATATTATTATGTACGAGTCAACCGCAGAGGAGGAACAACCACCACAGCATTGTATATGGACAGTTAGGCCTCCGATCCAGTTCTCCTAATATCACTCATCATGAACTTAATCTCTTGCAGTTTCTACCTTATAGACTTAGCACGGCCACTAGCGCGTTGTACTTGGAATACCCAAACTAATTACAGCGAAAACGCGTATGTCGCGAACGTCATTTCCCAGGTCTTGATGCCGATCTTTAATTACTATATAACGGTACGTGTTGTTGTTGTTGTTGTCGTCGTCGTCGTCGTCGTCGTCGGTTTGTTATAATTATTGCTATTGTTAATAAACTGTAATCAATGTTATTATTTAGGGGCTGAGAAAGCTTTCACAATCGAGATGGGTTCAACAACACGGCGACGCCGACGACAACGTTCAGCATGATTTTAAATAGACATTTGGGTGTTGTCACGTCAGGGGTAACAAAGAATTGATCAATAAATATAAATGCCCCCTGATAAGGCTTGGCGTGCGGGTCAGGCTATTCGAGATTAGGTGCTGAGAAACAAAACTGTTATGGGGCTCGTTGCGGTGGTGGCAAAGTCTATGTAGCGTATGAAATTTTGGATCTTTTAATAGACGTTTTGATATAGTGTAGTGGGGTGTTGCTACGTCAGAATCAAGGCGGCAAGTGCTCAGGGAGTAGAAAAAAACTACAGCAAATGCCCCCTGAAGAGAAAACGGCAATAGGGAATAAACCTGACATACGGATCAAGCTGTTCGCTGAGAAGCAAAACACGTGTCTGTCATGAGAATCGTTCCGGTGGTGGCAAGGTCTACGTAGCGGTTAAATAGCATTCACCAAAATGTCTCTGACCGAAAATATGTATAGAAGGCCTATTGGCAAATGTCATTAAGCTGAAGACATACTTTGAGGGGCTGTGCGGGCACGCCGCTTCATGGCACCAATCTGCATGTTTTGTACTTTAATCACACTTTTCCACACACGAAGCCATCTTATTGGTAATTGCGCGCCTGAATGGTAGGTTAGCCACGAAGCAGTGGAAGGAACGCGAACGCCGTCACCACCTCCAACGCCAAACAAGCGCAAGTTGACGTCCAATGAATTAGATTTGTATGATCCTTACTGTTTCGTTTGTTCGTTTTTCTGTATGCGTGGATGGCTTTATGATACTCCCGTTTTTTATTGCAATAGTTTTGTTAAGACAATATAACGATCATTTGCGCTTTTAAAAACATGCTGTATTATCTTTCCAAACATTGCTAGGGAAGGAAGCAGCTGAAAACCTCATAAACGACATTAACAACAAGACCGCCAAACCACCATCCGTTTGGTCAACTCAAAATTGGTAGATGTCTGTCTTGATCAATCCGGTGCGAGATGAAGCGGCGATTCCACGACCGAGCCGCGGAATCCGCCTGCCTCAAGACTGAATCCCCCGAGTCACAGAAGCCCTGGCGCCACGAGAGAAGTGCATGAAGCATGATAGTAATACTCATCTCTGCAATTATTATTATGTCAGAATCAAAAAAAAAAAAAAATTGGTGTTCCAAGCGGAAGTGGAAGACATACTTTGAGGCGGTGCGAATGAAGCGGCGATTCCACGACCGAACACCATAAAACCAATCTCTATTGGAAATTATTTATGTATATAGTGAATATCTAAACAGCAATATTAATTTCCAACATTAGTATTAGCCATAGATGTCATTATAATATCAGTTTATGTAAACGTAATCTATGTCCATACTTAACAATAAATCCCAACTGTCGAAGAAATAAAGAATGCTGATTGATTGTAAGCTAAATCCTCGGTCCTGAAGCCGAAACATAAAGCAATGGGTAATTGCAATAGTGAATAATTCGTACTTTCTGATATTTCCAATTCTACTGATAGTCTGGGCCGCGTATATACCTACTGTTGTTTCCACCACGCACGGTGAACTCGATTTGAGTTACGTCAGGTTCAACAGGGGCAAACACGTTCCACTTATAGTACGTTTGTTCGCGGGTGGTAGACGGTAGCTTATTTCGAAGCTTTTCTTTTTTTATTTCAGGCAGTGGAATTCTTTTAAACCCATGCGGGATAGCGCTGATAGCAATTTCTATAATAATGTCATCTTCATGCTCAGACAAAACATTAACCGCGCATGGTAAAATGCATTCATCATATTTGACAACATTATATTCAACGTCCAAATTAGCATAATTTAAAGATCCAACCCCTTATTATTTGCCTTGTGCTTCGATACCCACCAATTGCATTTGCTTGTGAGATGTAGATCTACGTATTTTGGAAATGATCAACGCAAAAACGCCTTTGGATTTTATATATATACTATAGCTTATTGCTTATAGCTATAGCTTATTGCTTATAGCTTATTGCTTATTGCTTATAGCTTATAGCTTATAGCTTATGCAAGCTCACGGACAAAGGGCGTTTATATAGCATTTTTGTTCAACATACCCTCAACAAACTTGCAGGTAAACAATACTGTTGTATTACAACGAATAGACACCGTTTGCGGTCATTCCCGCTTACTTCCATTAAACGTTAAATTTGTTGCCGAAGGCTGTTTTGACACCGTTTGCGGTCATTCCCGCTTACTTCCGTTAAACGTTAAATTTGTTGCCGAAAGGCTATGTTGGCCGTCTTACATACATCCTTACTATTACTACCTTCTTCTCTTTATTTTTTTAACATTAAGAATTAAAAGAGACGCCCACATCGAATATTGTCCTATTCGCTTTACTTTATCTGGCAAGATCGACGAAATTTCATGACATGGATTAGACTAAATTTGAATGACAAGCTTTGTGTGTTAGCATTGAACCAATCATATTGTACCACTGATTGTGAACAAACGACCAATTGTCTGGACGTAAAATGACATGCATTATTTATAACTTTACAATCTATGTAAGTTTATAACTTCATAAAATATAATGCGCAACATGACTTATGGTATGCGATTATAATAGTGCGTGCGTTTAAATTCATCACACATCAGAGCATGTTCTTTATTCGAACCAATAACTATCGCTAACTTATTTAGTGACTCAAACATTTTCCATTAATACAGTGCAGCACAGTACAGCCATGCTAAAAGTTCGCATCATTGATTGACAAAAAAGAAACACTATTGGCAAGCATCAAATTTACCAATTGCGGGCTTATTAACTTATTCAGTAACTCAAATGATCGAACCATAACATCTCGCCATTTTACTATGCAGAAAAATTTCCATAGTCAACTTAATTAGTTATTCAAACGCCATGTTACCTCCATGCGAACAATAGCTAAGAAATGTCTCATAATGTTGTGAATATAAAATACTGGCAGTATATACAGTTCGCTAACTAGAGATATATTACTATCATAGCTACGCAAACGTATAAATACAAACTA